CTAAGTATGGAATGATTTATAATCTGTTATCTGGAAAAAAAAAAAAAAAGACACTGTTTGATGTATTTTCGGTTAAAACCGAATTTGAATGTGAGATAACTGATTAAATTGGCAACCGAACCGAAGAAAAAAGAAGAAGTTCGGTTCGGTTTCGGTTCTTAAAATTGATAAAAAAAATCGGTTAATTTGAAATCGGTTTCGGTTTAACCCGAAACCGGTTTTTGCCCAGGCCTAGCATCAGCATTCAACAATTGCACGGGTCACGAAACAAAAGCAACCTGCAAATCCCTCCGATCAGATCGTACGAGGCACTCAATCACTCACAGTCATTTTGATTTTGGTACGTTCATTATATCGAAGTGACTAAACCTCAGGCCCTCAGCGAAAAGAAATCTTTTCCATTGACTGATGAATGCTATCGCCGTCAGGTCCATGACCATGCCCGTTACCGGCTCGTCACCTAACCACTCTATTGAGGATTGCCTCCTTAATAACGGCAGGGTTAGGATGAGTTGGTGAATCAGGAAATGTTGTTGGGGTGATATAAATTATTTTTATAAAAATATTTTATAGAAACGAATTATACATTAAAAGTATAATTTGTTTTATAAATTTATTTGAATATTTTTACTAAAATAATATAAAAATAATTTATTAAAAATATTTAAATAAATTTATAAGATAAATTGTATTTTTAATGTATAATTTATCTTATAAAATTTGAATCTCAATTTTTAAATATTACCTTTTAAAAGATCACTAATTTTGTTTTATTTATTTGTTAGAAATAACTGATAATTGTATCTATTAATTGATAAATGATAAAAAAAATTAATATTATTATTTAACAAATTAAAATTATCATATACATATATTAATATTTTAAAATATCATAACTAACTATTTATAAAAAAAAAATTAATATTTGTGTAGTTTTAACAATGTAGTTTATGGCCATAAGCCCATAGCCATATTTATTCATTCAGTATTTGATAGAAAAAATATATATTCTTTTTAGTTCAAACTTAACTAAAAAAATGCAAATCCAACCTTGATTGGAGAGTACTTGTATACTCTCAATTATAAATCTTCTCCTATGTTGATTTATTAAAGTACATATAGTTATGGGGAAAATATTACTCTTCGTATAGAATTAACATTTTGTCTACCTTGGTCCATGGAGTTCAAAAATTTTACTAATAAATTAAGGAAAATGATTAATATACATTTAGTTTAATACATTTTCTGATACACTTTTGATTTAATCATTAAATATATAATATAAATACAACTGATTCAACCAATTCATATATCTTGTATGTATTATTATATATTTAAACTTACTTGTCTTTAATTTTAAATCAAAAAATAATAATTTTTTAATAAATGTATTATGCAATATATTATGCAGTGTATTAAATTGAATGCGTACTAATGATTGTCCATAAATTAAACACCTTTTTTTTTTTCTAAAAAACCTAATTTGTCTCCAAATGTTTTTAGAATTTAACAAAGAATTAAAATTTTATTTTTTAGAAGATTTTAAAAAATAAACAGTACAAAACAGTCATGAAGAGTCAAGTCTACACTTGCTATAAATTTATTGGAAAAAATTTCAAATAATGATGCTGGAAGTTGAGTATATCCTGACAGACTACATGGGTGAACTAAAAGGAGGGAAGGCAAAAAGGAGAGAGGGACGTACTCTGTGCTTCTGCAGTGCACATCCTGCTTCTGCTAATGCTATGGCCTCTGGCCCAGTGTGTTTTGGTGAGTATTTTGCGTGCACTGTGTGATTCATTTTCATTTATTTCACGTGCATGGTCTTTACGTCGAGTGCTCAAAAGCAATTTTTTTCCCCCATTCTTTCTTTAACTAAAATTGATGGATGGATTCACCTTTGCGTGTTATGTATTTAATTTTAACTACTCCCGTAACTGATTGATTGTGGAAGTAGAGATATTGGTGTTGTACAGAATAGTCCACCGCGTGCAGGTTAGGAAGGAAAAAAACGAAAACACGTAGAGCAGACAAAATGCCAACCGGACCTGTGGTCCAATGGTTGACTCCCAAGCCTTAAGGCTTGGGTAAGGCAGAGGTCAGGGTTTCGAACTCTACTACCGCCATGAACTCCACCAACTTACGACCTAATGGTCGCGCGCCTCTTCTAAGAGGTGGATTGTTCATCATTCTTGAAAGTCCCAATTGCTAACAACTAACTCTACTAACTTCCTAACCATTACCCTTATAAAAAAAAAAAAAAAACGTAAAGCAGACAAAACGATGTTCTCTATTAATCATCACGAAAATGCCAACGCTTTCTGGTATTCTGTTCCATTGTTGGGGACAAAATAATTCTAAATTATGCTCCAATGTTTAAAAACTTAAAAATTAATGACTAATGGTTGTTCTAAGGATGGTTGTCAACAAAATGCTATCAACGAAATCATTCTAGTAAAATTTTCCTACTTAACCTCGATTGCTTTGGATTTGAGCTCAAATTCAACAAGATATATATGATGGATTTTGCTATATATCTGCCTTCAATTAAGGAGCTCGACGACTAAAATGATTATTATGCAAAGCCTTTTTCTTTTCTTTTTAATAAAAAAGATAGTGATATGTAAATAACTTATTTGTATAATTTCTATTTATAACTTATATATACGATTAACTTTATGGATATATATTAATATCACGTGCAAATCTCAATAGACTAAAAAATATTAATTAATCATTAAATGATATGTAAAGTTGTATGAAAAATTATACATAATAGTTGGCCCATAATCATTTTTTGTAAAAAAAAAAAAAAATCATATTGCCTTTTCTTAGTAACAATGACAAATCACTGAATTCACAGTTGAAATGGCAAACAGATGAGGTCATGAAGCATCAGGGGAAAACAATAGGTTTTTGGGTAAGAGAAATGTAAAAACAGTTCAAGTTCCAGAAAATTCAAACAGGACTCTTTTGTGCTGATTTTGTTGGTCTTTTTTGACTACCTAAACTGTGGACCGTGGACGTTATGCAAGGATGGAGACTGTGGAGTGTTATTTCTCAAAGGGGATGTAAACACAAATTAAATAAATCCACCTCTGTTTAGTCCATTAGAATGAGAGGTGTCTCTAATAATTTGTTATCAATATCAAGATGGACCAACTTTTTTTTTTTTTTAAATTGATTTCTTTAATATTTCAGAAACCCAGAGTTAGATACTATTCTCACGAGTATGAGGCCTTGAACACAAGACCCATGTGCCAGCCACACGACGGAAGCAAGTGGAAAACTACTTGCTAGGAAATGTTAGTTCCAATTACTCATATAAAAAAGGGAAAATTAATTATGCATAATATACATGTTACATAAAGCCTAAATAAGAGAAATGATATTTCTGAAAAGTTGTTCCAAAGTTGATATTGAGAATTAAATGCCATGCCGCAGGTCAACAAGAATTCTGTAAAATTTTGGTTGTTGCTGCAACTTAAACAAACATCCAAACCTAATTGCTATTATTGTGAACAGAAAATGCTGCAGGGTTCAAACCTTGGTTGGCCAACAAACTTCCACTTTTACACAAGTAACATTGACTTATTTTCTCTTGATTTTACTCTCATATGGTATCCTAGAATAGTTTGAACATAACAAATTGAATTAACCTTTCCATTTTGATAAAAATGCATTCTAAGTTACGAGCCATTGATTTTCAAATCCAACACGGTTAAGATATATTAAATATATTACAACATGCTTACTCTTTAAATAAAAAGCAAATGGGGAGTCACCATAGGAAGTGGGGGCCAATAAATGGCAAAGTCTTGTGAAGATTTTATAGTTGGCGTGTTGGTTGTCGTCAAGAAAGTCTTTTTCTTATTTGTGATACAAAACAAGTGATATAGTTGAGCATTTCTATCATACAACAGCCAAAGGCAAGGGTGGAGGCAAACATTTTTTTAGGGGGTGCAAAATACTAAAATTTTCAAAGTTCAGGAGAGGCTAAATAATTTTTTATAAACTAATTTGAAAGATTTTCAAATTTGAGGGGGGCGAGGCCCCCCTCGCACCCCCTGGCTCCGCCACTGGCCAAAGGGATAGTTTTTTGAGAAACATAATCATTTCAACCGTTTGAATTGAGAAATCACTTACTAATAATCTATCTATGTTTTTTAAGAATAATTTAATGGTTAAGAACTTGAATTTCTATTGTTAAAAATCTCAAATTCGAATCTTGAAATGAGTAGGAAGAGATTTGGGAAAGGGAGAATTATCCTCTATTATATAATATATTATCCAACCTAAAAAAAAGAATTATATGTAAAATTCACACATATGCGAATGGTTCATGACTCTTCACAGACATCTATTTTGCAGTATACAGTTTTTGTGGAACAATAGATGACAGGCCCACCTATCATATTTTCACTTCATACGAAAGGCCCATCCATCTAAAACTTTAATAATCTACTCATCTGAGCCCTTTAACAGTTGAAAGCCCAAGCCCACAGCTTAAATGTCTGCTGTCTGCAATAATTCCACAAAACCCTCAACCTCTAGACAGCCTCCAGAATCGGAAGTTCGACTCTGCGGCAGCCCACCACCGTGAACTCATCGCCATCTCCATTTCCGACTTAACAATGTCTAAGTGGTGGCGCGGCTTGCGGACGGTGGTTCAGGTGCGTACCCTGAACGAGCCACCTTGCTCGCACTCTTACCACACTATCCAGGCCATCCCTAGAGAGTGCAGTGGTAGTCGGATCTCGAGGAGGGACCGAGACCAGGGCAGGATTCCGGCCGTCGTCTTTTCACAGAACCTCCTTGATAAGGACCCCTACAATCGATCCCTCGCCAGGAAGCAGCTATTGACCACCGAGAGGAAGCAGATTAAGGCCGTTCTCAAATCCGTGGAGCTACCTTTCTTTTACTCTACTACCTTCCCACTCCAGATCCGCGCTGGCTCCGGTTCGTCGATCCTCCTTGAGTCCGGGAGAGTATTACCCATCAAGGCAAGTTTTTTTGTTTCAGTATTCCCTTATCTAATTAGAAGGTTTCATTTTGAGATATGGTGCTGATTTTGGAGAGTTTATAGATTCATAGGGACGAGGAGACAGGGAAGATATTGAATTTGGTTTTTGTTTGGGCCGATGATGGGACCGAGTTGAAAGTTGATGTGCCGATTGTTTTCAAAGGATTGGAGCATTGTCCTGGTCTCAAGAAAGGTTAGTATGTTATTCCATTTCCTGTTCCTTTTGCAGTTTTTCCTTTTCCAATTTAAGGTTATGTATTGATGACACAATACAATCCTACTGGTATTTTTCTATCTCCCCACTGAGCATCATTTTGAGTTTGCCATATTTTAGGAGCAAAATTTGTTGTTAGTATCTGTACCAAGAATGACCTTTTAAAACAGTTAAAGCTGAGTGCTTTAATAGTTGCTAGGTGGTGGTTTGTTTGGAACTTTTATTTGTATAACAAAAAGTTAACATGGTTGGTTATTTTCTTGGGGATAAATAAATTTTGGGATTGTCTTGAAATCAAATTACAGGGAACGCAAAGATAGGAATGTAGATTTAGTTTGTAGAGGATGTTGTTATGTTTCTCCGTGTTTGTAAATCTACTAGCATATTTTTACATATAAGCCATGCCTTTTTGAATGGTTGCAAGTCTGCATTGCACTAGGACTCTAGAAGTCTTTTGTTAATCTCAAACTTTATTATTCATTTCTTTTTTTAAGTGTTTATCTAGACGTTTAAGATTATGTCAAGAGTTATGTGAAGTGGACATGTATTTCCAGGCTTGCTGTTGCCACACTGTTAAAGGGAGTCTCCATGACTATAATAAACAGCTAGGCTAGTTGAACCTAGAGAATTCTAAATCAATTATCAGTCATGGGTCATATTCTCTTTATTTATTTTTGCTATCCATTAAGTTTCTCGCATCTCGATCCCATTTTAGCCTTCTGCTTTTTTCCTTGTTTTCCTGCCTGTCATCTTCATCCTACGTGTGTTTCATGCTTCACCATATCCTTGCTCCCATTCCGTTTGTTTCCTTTAGTTGTTTGTCAAAAACATGGGTCCAGTTGGCTCGGTCCCCAAAGAAATGTTTGAATGTAGGAACTAAACTTCGTCAGGAACCAGAGGTTCATGTTGCCTTATCTTGCAATTAGGCCATTGCCTTTGGGGGTACCATCTGATCTCTTTTGGTTATAAAGAGTTTGTAAATTGGCAGTGAAAAACTTTGGTGTCCTGAGAAATACATGGCCTTTACAAGGTTGCTTGCCTGATTTTTTTCCATTTAGGAACATAAAAAGGAATCTGTTCAGCTATTTGCTTGTTTTAATTCTTGCTTTGTAGATGGATCAAATAGAACTCTGGTTATGGTATTTTGTTGCTGCTTTATTGTGTTCATGTTCTTGACAAACTTGGCATACATTTTCATTGGCAAACGTTATTTAATGATCTCATTTAATGACATTACAGGGGGTTCCCTGAACAAGATAAGAGCTAGTCTAAGGTATCTTTGCCCAGCCGAACACATTCCTCAGAAAATTGAGGTGGATGTGAGAAAACTAGATATCGGGGACACAGTGTTGATGCAAGATGTTGAGGTTCATCCATTCCTGAAGCTTCTAAGCAAGAATGAGACCATGCCTATATGTAAGATTGTGGCAACAAATTTTGAAAATGCACAATGCAAGTCAGTGTAGGCTAGGCGAAGAAACCTGAAGTGAACTAAACTCAAAAGGTCTTGATGGAGCACACCACGAGGTAAAAACCATTTCAAGAATATGTCTTCTAGAGGTGTTGATTTGAGATTTCCAAATCGTCCAGAAAGTCAACATTTAGCATGTAATCAGGCAAAAGTGGTTCAATTGTGGTAGTTATGAATGGAAAAAACGGAATACTTCTATCAATGCTTTTAGTTGTCTCAGTTTTCTTACTATTTGGAATTGACATTCAATGGTGGTTATTGTGATGAGGACTTTTCCTTTTGTTTGGTATATCAATGATAGGTTATACAATAATTCTCCTCGTTGCTATTTTTTTCTATTTATCTTAAAGTTTAAACTCGAGATTTTCCACCTCTCAAATTCATTTTGTTATAGCACCCGCACGGAGAATCATACTATATATGATATTCATTGATATTAGCTTCTTCTTTGATTTTCCACGTTTGGGCTGACCATATCTGCTTATGGTGTCCACGTCCACTTTACATGTGCCATGTCTCGTACTACTATAACCCATGTGTCCCCATGTGGTGGGTTGACCATGACCTTGTCTCGCAAGTTTTGTCCTTTTTTTTTTTTTTGATTTTTTGGCCAGCGTCTCGTAAGGATCAAGTTAGGACAGTACCTAAAAGAGTGTGTAATGGGGTTCGGAGAATCATATTATTTCTGGAATCTATAAAAATTAAAGGAAAATATTATTCTTATAAAGAAAAAATGGAAAAAATGTGTACGGTCTGTATGGTGAACTGTAAATATATATATATATTTTTTTAACTAAGGGGAATTGTGGAGAATGGGAAAAGTAGTGCCTGAGTGTAGAATCCAAAACTTGGATGTAATAGCATGTTCTACATAAGTTATGATCATCAAACCACGTAGTGCTAGACAAACTGTAAATATCTTGCACCCCAGTTCTCTTCTAGAATGATATCGTTCTATGTTAAGATAAGAGTAGGACGTTTCTAGTTTTCTATTTTTATTATAACACTAATATTGGATACGACTCCAAGATATTTAATTATCAAAAAATAAATTGCATGTAGCATGGATACTCTATTAGATTTAAAGGTTCCTAAATTAAATATACAAAGGAGAAAGGGTTGTTTGTCAACCAAAAAAAGAAGGGGTTGATCTAAGTAAATATGTCACTGGGGTTTAATAAAAGAAAAAAATTATGACCCTACTGTTTGACACTTTTTTAGAAAAATTAGGATAAGCTTTTTTTTTTTTTTTTTTTGCAATTTATTTTTGAACTAATACAATTAAATAAATGAGAAATAATTGTTAAGGTTTAAAACTTAAATTTTTAAATATTATTATACTCTTACAAAATTACAATTTATTAGCCGGTGATTTGTTTCTATCCCTTTCCATTTCTGCATTTGCCGCCTCAGTTAGATTAACGAAATGCACTCATGTTATCATCGCTTATGTCAACCTTTGAGTCGCGTGAAGGACTCTTTCTTGTATTAGTAAATCAAAGATGTATTACTATATAAATAAATAAGATACAAGTAATATTACTTTAAATTATTAAATAAAAATAAATTTTTTGATATTAGAAAATATTTTATATTTAATTATTATCTTATAATTTAATAATATATAATATATATTACATATTAGTTTTAATAAAAGAGTTTAGTTTTTTTTTTTAAATAAAATTTTGAATTTAAATTTTATGAATAGAAACATTGACATTGAAAGAGGTTTCTCTTTATAGAATTTGAGATAATTTAATTCTAAATTAGTCGATATTCAATGTAAGTTCTAAATTCTAAAAGTTTAGTACCAAAAAATAATTGTATAATATACAAAATGTAAAATAAGAAACTTAAAATAAAGCCTCTATTGTTTTAAAAAAAATTTCTTTCTATCTCTTAATTAAAAAAAAATTTCTTTCTATCTCTTAATTAAAAAAAAATTCTAACATGTATCTTTAAAACAAGAGTTAAAGTTGTAATTACAATTTTTTTAGTAATTAAATTATATTATTATAGAAAACTAAAAGAAGTTAATACTATTAGGTTTAATATTAATGTAATGTGTATTAATTTAATTAATTAGTCGTTAAAATTAAAATTAAAATTTATTTTTTATGTAACTTAATAAAAAAAAGTAAACTTTATTTAATATGATTGTAATTTAAAATTTTTATTTTAATTGTCAAAAATTTTAAAACTTTAAAATAAAA